TTTGTGTGCACTCTTGAGTAAGAAAATGAATTTTTATGAAAAAAATTGTAGGTTCAAAAATTTAGGGTTTGGTGGAAATTTTCTTTTGTTCTAGGATTGATGTTTAGAGAGATTTAAAATCATATTTAGCTTGAAATCCAAAGATTTCCCTAAGAGATTTTGGGGTTTCCACATTAAGGCTTTACCAAAAATTAAAATAGTTATCACGAGTTAAACCAAATTATAAAATATGAGCTAACCGGCCGGATCATGACAGGAGTCACGATTTGGCCCGGTTAGCTCGTATATACGAGGCGGGAACGAAATCGGACGTTCAGAACAATCAATAATCATCTTACATGTTAATAAAAATTTTTAAAAAGACTTCAATAACATAAAGCGCCTCTAAACCTTTTCATTTCATTTCAAAAGAGAGTTCACAATATACACAAGGTGGCTAAAATTTCTAACTATTCATACTATGACAAAGCCATCCAAAAGTAAGGTAACTACAACTAGTAAAAATAGTAAAAGAACCTGTCACCCGGGGTATGACAACTGTATGTAAACCTCAGGTTGTCAGCCATCTCTTGTTGCAGGTTCTCCTAAAAAGTATCCCACAGGGAATGAGCTAACGCTCAATAGGAATTTCTAATCCTAAACATGCTCACATGACTTATTAAATGAAAATTGCATTTTTAAACTAAAGGGGACATGCTTTTCTTTTCTTACACATGTTATATTATTTATGTCTTATGAATGAGAGATAATTTAGGAGCCACATACATGTGTCATTAGATATGTATATGAAATGAATGTCATCTCAAAATGCTTACTTATTTATCATATACAATCATCCCGGAGTACCACGGATGTACTGATCAGGTACACAAACCTTTTTTTGTCATTTATTCCTTTTCCTCATTTGCCCCAAGGGCCATAATGTTCCTGTATTGTTCATATGTGCTTTTGCACCGTACTTGGTACTCCGCAATCAATCATGCACAATTAATTCTATATTCTTTTCATATGAACATACATTCCTTCCTTTTCATATAATGTCATATATTTCTACGAACTAATATTTGACATGAAATCTCTAAACATGAAATAAATAACTTGTAATGACTACACTTAAGCACTTAAGCATGAAAGAAACACTACATGAAAACCCGTTATTACCGGCGGACTAAATCCGCCGGAATACATAGATAATCCGACGGAACCATAAGTTACCGGCGCACGTTTCGGCGGAAATGCATACGCCGGTTTCGGTCGCGTCGATAAATTTTTGCCGACGAATATAATGCGCCGGAAACCTTTCCGGCGCACTTACCGACGCCTTACCGGCGTAAAACATCGAATTGGTCCCGACGACTCACAACCGATAAATTCCGGTGCCATATGCGCCGGTAAGTTTCTATCGGATTGTCCCCGGTAAGTACCGGCGGACAAAACGCCGCAAAGTCGCCGTAGACAACCCACAGCTTTGTTTGCGGCGCAAAATAGGCGCCGGAAAGAAGCGGCGGAAATGGCGCCGGAACATGCGCCGGTAGTGGCTGACGGAAGGAAGACGTCGATATGTCCGATACAATTCGTTGTATCGTTCTTTCCGGCGGATTTTCGGCGTACAATCCGCCGGAAACCTATAGCATTGACAAAAAAAATATTTACTTCCCAGCCAACAATCAAATTTCCACACCTGCAAACGAATACAAATAACAATTCCACAACAATTTCACAACAGTTCTAACAAATTCACAACAATTTCACAACAGTTTATAACATAAAAAGAAACTGATCAATAGTAACAATCAACAAAAAATATCAGATTAAAAGAAACTGTTCAATAACACATATTCACAGAAATAAACAAGTTTATGTAAACTAAATTAAACAACTCTGACTCCGTGGACTCTTCCTCAGGTGGAGCTATGTCTTTTCCACTCAGCTG